GCAGCAGTGGAGTCTAGTTTGGCAGCACCAAGCCTTTCTCTGGGATCTGCAGCTCTACTACCAAGTTCCAGTTTAAACAGCTGTGGCAATGCAGTTTAGGAAGTACAAGTAGTGAGCTCTTACCCAGGCTCTGCACAGATAAATGAAAGTAATTTGTGGAAAAATTTCTACAAACATATGAGGAAAGGAACCCACAATGAACTATAATGGGTAGGTGGGGTGCAGAGCAATTGAGACATGATTCCTTTTATGCTCCTGGAGTGGGAAAGACCATGATACTCAAGTCACTCTAACTTGCTGCTGTGCAAGATGGCATGTTTATGAAATACTTTGTATTTCAGAGGAAAAGAACATAATAAAATAAAACACAAGTTTGAATAAGATCATTCTTCTCAGTATATTCATATCCTTCTCCTTCTCAGATAGGAAACCTAAGATTTTCAATTAAGCAAGGAAAGGGTGGAAGAAACTGTAATGATTAAATATATTCACTTTGAAAATGTTGTGATGACATCTTCATTTATTACATGACAAACATGCAATAGTTGAGTTGAGCCTGTTTCTAAGTGAAACTCTATGGTAAGCTAGAATTTTACTCTGTAGATTGAAAGTATAAGAGGAGAGGCGACGATATCCCCAAAGCAGGGACTATTGAGCATATAAATCCATATAAAATGGGGAATAACTGAGCAATAATGTAACTACTTAACCATAGAGTTGGCCTCAAACCTCAAACTGCACCTCCACTCACCCCTGAACCCATAAACCCACTGGTACTAGCAATCCCCAATTTACAAAGTATTTGAATATATGAAGACAAAATAATCAGAATGAATAAGACAGAGATGGAGGAAAAACTTGAGATAATTCTGATACAATATTGAGAATTGTCCAGCAACATTTATGGTCCTTGGGAAAGAGAAAATATTCATTCCCTTACATATGCCCTATGTTGAGATGCATTATGGCAACTGATTCATTGAAAGCATGGGTATTCAACTTACCCAGCACCTTGCCCATATCAGGAATCATGCTGTCATCCCTGAGAGATCCCCCTCTGGCTTAAGTGGTCCCATCGGTGGACCTCATGGAGAGCGGCAGAGGAAGAGTGCACACTGGCTTGGCCTCACCTCTGCCTCCTGGAGAGGGCATAAAGGACACGTGGCCAGCTCTACCGTCCTGAGTCACACACAGGTATAAACACATGAGCCTCATGGTGAAGGATCACATGGGGACCAGGAAAGACGCATGCATGCTGCACTCCTGCTGTCAAGGTAACAACTACCTTCAATCCCTGGCAACAGGATCCTTCCGGGCCAGCCCTCAGAGAAACTAAGGGATTAACCAGACTTCTCCCACTGGGGAGGTCACTGCCCTCTAGAGGGTAGGTCAATATATTAATCCCTCCACAGAGGGGTGTTGCTGACAGCACGTAGGCAGAACTCCTGGTCAGCATTTCTCTATCATGGGGAACACAGCCCCACAGCCCTTACATTTCACATCTTCTTACTGCTTTCAGTAAACAGTTAGTACTCACAGAGGAGTCTGTCTCCAGATAGTGGCATATGATAACTTGTTGGCAGGCTGGCCTTTGTGAAAAGTGATCCATAAGCAAATCCTGCACTTCCCTCTGATGATTCAAGTCCCATTATCATAAGACTTGAGAATCTAATGATACTTGGCTTGATGATACATCCTGACTACAAAATTTTGAATGAAATAGCTTGAAGCCTTAGGTGTCATACTGTTGCATATGTGTCTGTTTCCCATGTCTCAGACAAATAATAAGCTTGTGGTAGGAATGCCTGGCCATTGCAAGACCACAAATGCCCTCCCTCTTCCCTAGCAGATGTCTGACAAGTAATTATGGACATAATTCTCTCAGCTACCACACAACAAACACCATTTTCCTGCTTTCCTGGCTCCCCAAGATGACTGCCAATGCCTTAGAGACTCTCAGCCTTGCCATAGAGGCACCCATGAGCTGCCAGAGAGCAAATATCATGTAACGATCCCACATTTCAATGCTAAATTGTTATAAGTGTCCCAAAGCAGCAATGCTTTGCTGTCCTAATGTGCCAGAGATTCTACTCCCAAGAGCTCCCTACTACCCAGACAAGGATCTATGAGAGCTAGAATGAGTATGAGCTGAATGAAGAATGCCTCTGTGTGGCACCAAAAACATGTAAGGTTTTTTTTTTTTTTTTTTTTTTTTTCTGATTAGGTCCAAAGTGTTTTTATTTGTTGCACTGACCAATTTTTTTAAAGACCATTCCAACTATTACTTGGTCCATGAACGATATCTAAGATTTTCCAAGACCCCCTTACCCTATGCTCTCCTCAGACAAATCCTGCTCAGCTTGAATTGATAATTCCCTTCTTGGAACCAACTCTACCACTTCCCCTTATAATGATTTCCAAGCAACTTGTTATGCTTACTGATTGGTGTGTTTCCCTTCTTTAAAGGCTCTGGGCAACTTGAGGGTCCCTCAAGTTATTCAATTTTGTGTTCTTAAGAGAAAAAATTCTGACATTTATTTACTAAGCTAACATTTAGTAAATAAATATATGAGGTAGAACATGCAGTATTGGTTATTCCTTGTCTGGTTTATTTCACTTAACAATGTCTTCTAGTTCCACACATGTGACCATAAGTGAAAGAATTTCATTCACTTTTATGGCTGAATAATGTTCTACTGAATATATATACCACATTTTCTTTATCCATTCATCGATGGACACCTTGGTTGAGTCCATAGCTTGGCTAATGTGAATAGTACTGCAATAAACATGAGAATATATGCATCTTTAGTATGTCTATTTCATGTTCCTTGGATATATACCCAGTATCTGAATCATGGGATAGTTACATTTTTAGTCTTTTGTGGAACCACCATACTGTTTCCCATGTCAAATTAATTTATATTTCTACCAATAGTATGTGACAGTCACCCTTTCTCCACATATTCACCAGCATTTATTATTTTTTGTCTTTTGGTTATAGACATCTTATTTCAGTAAGATGGTATCTAGTTGTGGTTACGATTTGCATTTCCCTATTAATCAGTAATGTTGAGCATTTTTTTCATATACTTGTTGGACATTTGTATAGTGGTTACTAGAGTCTAGAAAGGGTAGGAGACAAGGGAGATTAGAAAGTCAGATAACACAGGTACCTAATTACAACTAGATAGGAAGAGTAAGTTCTAGTGTTCTATAACACAATAGTGACTACTGTTTACAGTTTATTTATATTTTATAAAGAACTAGAAGAAAGGAGTTTGAAGATTACCAACACAAATAAATAATAAATGTTTAAGAAGATGGAAATGCTAACTGCCCTGATGTAATCATTACATATCATCTATACATATCAAATTACTATACTACATAAATGTATACAACTATTATATGTCAATTCAAAATAAAAAATAGGACTGAGGGGTAGCTCAGTGATAGAGCATGTGGCTAGCATGCATTAGGCTCTGTATTCAATCCCCAACACAAATAAATAAGAAAAAAACTTTAAAGTAAATTAATGAATAAATCAATTCTAATAGTACATTCGAAGATAATTTGGTTCTTTTTGAGGCCCCACAACATGCTGGTTAAATTCCAGAGCTCTGCTCATGAGACCACACTGATCCTATACACAGCTCTTTTCTTTTGTTCTCTTTTCTGCACGGCATACATTCTTTTTTTTCTTACAGTTTCTAGAATCCTATCTTTTCTTATCTAGATTTTTCTAAGTAATGGGATGAAAAGAAGACCTACCCTATGTAAACATCCATTTTCCTAAGAACAAATATATTTGCACAGTTTTTCTAAATAATATAAATCTATTCGTTAAGATATATTTGCTGGGTAGAAATTCTTTTGCCTGCTAATGTGCAGAAAGCTCTCATCTAATCAATTTTTATTGAAAGAAACTAGAAAAGTACAGTGGGAGAAAAACTGAAGGAGAGTAACCATGGCAAATCTTGCTTTCAAATCCTTATGCATCATTAAGAGAATAGATAACAAATCACCTTCTATAATGCTTGTTGTTTCTTGTTTACTTTTCCCTTATACAGCCTGCATTCTCCTATAGTTTGGTAGAATTTTCTCAACCAAAATATTGACCCTCTCTAACTCAGGGAATATCTAAAATAAACAAAAGCAAAATAGTTACAGAAAGTAGCTGGTTCACTGTTAGCATGGATACTGATGAGTTGAGTAAATGTCTTATTTTGGTCTTTATCTTTGTCTGCCTAACATAGAGTATGATAAGCAGAAAAGATAGAAACCAAAGTTAAAAGTATATACTCTGAGAAGTCCAGAACCATTTTTCATTAACAAACATCATATAGGATCTTCATATTTTATATTTTTAGAAGTGTATATTTATAAAACATTTCACAAAAATAAGTGATTCTTAAAGATAGATGACAAAAACATTACCATGTGCACGGAAGAATTAAGTACATTATAGAAAATAAAAGAAACAAATCTACACATTAATGTGCCAAGGATTAAATATGATTCTTTTATTCATTCAACCAACATTTATCAAACATCTACTTCATTTTCCAGTTACTATTCTAGAACACAGAAGCAAAAAAAACAAATCCCTACACTTGTGGAGTTCGTATTCTATAAAGTTTATGAACTATAAGCAAATAAATATGTAATTTGTCAGGTGATGATAAAAACAAACAGACGTAAAATAGGGCAAGGGAGACAATGGGAGACAGAGGCAGTTAGAGGGGTTGCTGTATTCGATTGGGTTGTTGGATAAGGCCTCTTGAATGACATGACATTTGAATGAAGACCAGAAGCTAGTGCCAGTGTGAGCTGTGAAGAGATCTCAGGGAGAGCATCCCAAGTGAGCAAAGAGCAGGGGCGAAGTTCCTGGGACCTGAGTGGCTTGGCGTGCTAAGGAATGGCAGAGGCCAGCCTGGCTGGTGTGAAGTGAGCAAGGAGGAAAGCAGTGAGAAGTGAGGTTGGAGATTATGAAGTACCTTTGATCTTCTGTTCTTTCTTGGTTGCAATGAAAAACAAAAGATGAAGTTAAATTTCCTCTGCCTCATTGAAAAAGGCAGTCCTTTCTTTCCATCTGGGAAGAAGTGGAAGGAAGGAAAGGCATACATTAACAGGAAGCACAACACCAAGGAAGAAAGGGACTAGTCCTGATGAACAACAGACTGTGAAATCCACTTTAAGATTATAATGTGGTTCTCACAATTTTTATCAGAAAACATTGTTAATAGCCGGCTGACATTTGTGATTCCTTCAGGCTAAATGCAGTACCCTCCTATTTTCCTATCAGGTGAAATAGGAATGTTAGTCTAAATTCAGCCTAATCATGGTTCTAATAATAGCACAGATGTAGAGAGTGCCTCTGAGCTAGTGAGCCCCCGTTTTTTATTAAGCCTAGTAACATGTCCTCCAGGTTCAGGTTAATCCCTGTCTTGGGGTGAGCAAGCTTTAAGGAAAAGCACTGGTGCTGTACCAGAGCTAGAACTCAGAACAAAACTACCAAGCACTAGCCTCGCCAACGTGCCTGCATGTAGTGACCTCCTCCTCCTTGCCACTCGAACAACCTGCTGAGCAACTCATGTTCTTAGTCTGATCACAATCCACCAACTACTTGTTTAAATCTCCTAACCTGTGGTTTTTTCTCCCCCTCCTCTTCTTCTCTCCTTCTCTCTGTCCTTTCTATTTTTCCTTCCTTCTCATTCCTTTCTTTTTCTTAGTAATAATAGTTTCTACATCCTAGGTGTAGATCCTTTAGAGATTAAGTTTCTCACTGCTTTCTTGAAAATCTTTGCTTCTTTATTTATGTATTTATGTATTTTTATGTTCATATTTATTTATTTATGGTACTGGTATTTGAACTCAGGACCTCAGGCTTGCTAGGTAGATACTCTATTACTTAAAATACTCCCCCAGTACTTTTTGCTTTCATCATTTTTTTAATAGGGTCTCACATTTATGCCTGAGGCCTGGACTCAATCTTCCTAGTTACTCAGAGCTGGGATAGCAGGGTACACCACTGCACACAGCTTTTTTATTGGTCAAAATGGATTCTCACAAATGTTTTGCCTGGGCTGGCCTCAAACTATAATCTTTACAATCTGCATGCCCCAAGTAGCTAAGATTACAGATTTGAGCCGCTGCTCAGGCACTGCATTAATTTTAATAGTGAATCAGGTACAAAGAACATCTGCTTAAAACAATATGAAGTTTGTTCTACCGAGTTCAAATTCTCCTGATGAGTTTTCTTTCTAGTGAAATACTTTTGTACTCATTTTTGCAAATCAGATGAAAAATATTTAGTTCTTCAAAACAGATGGAGTTAGGAAATACCTGGGAACTCTTGCTGGTGTAACCTTAAGTCTCAGCCTATTCTCCTCTTGGTATAGGTCTACTACTTGGATCCTTATCTCGTCAGATGTGCTGAGTTTTGATGAGTCTTGTATATTTGTGGAACATCACTGTGGAGAAACACATAGGTAACAGAAAATTTTAAATGTGATGATGTCACAATTTTTTTAATTACCATCGAGTTCTTTAGGTAATTATATTCTATTCCATACTGAGATCTAACTGGAAGCATACAAATATCTTAAAGCACCTTTCCTGGACTATGTTAGGAATTTCCATCCATCCAGTATTTATCAACCTTTTTTTTTTTATGCCAGGTGCTATTCTTGGTGCTAGAGATACAGTAGTAACCAAAGAGAAACTAACCCCTGCTCTAATGGACCCATATTCCAGAAGAAAGAAGCACATACATTATAGAAATATGTAAATGAGCCAGGCACTGGTGACTCACACCTGTAATCCTAGCTACTCAGGAGGCAGAGATCAGGAGAATCGAGGTTTGAAGTCAGTCTGGGAAAATAGTTCTGGAGACCCTATCTCAAAAATACCCAACACAAAAAAGGGCTAGCAGAGTCAAGTGGTAGAGTGCCTGCCTAACAAGTGTGAGGCCCGGAGTCCAAACCCCAGTACCACCAAAATAAATAAATAAAATAAACAATTTGTGAAATGTTGATAAACGCCCTGGTGAGAAAGTGAGCCAGGAAGGGAGGATAGAAAGAGAAAGGGTACACTTTTACATAGGTAGCAGACAATGTCTCATAGAAAAGGTACATTTGAACAAATACCTGACACAGACAGAAGACTCCCTTGAAGAAAGCATTTTGATTTTATTTTCTTCCTAAAACATTCTCAGTACACACTCATACATCTCTGGCAGGGTAACTTAAGAAGCTGATGGTAATAACTGCTTCTGGGAAGGGAGCGAGGGCCAGACAATGGAAAAATAGCTTAATTTTCAATTCAGGTTTTTTTCAATTTTATAGTGTATGCATAGTTTATTCAAATGTAACAAAAATAACATTGTAATTCTTTAACATTAAAATTAATAAAAGTCTGTTAATATCTCTTTATTAATAGATCTAAACTATAGAAATAAAAGAGCCATGTTTCTTAAATTGCTAGACAAGAATAAGATCTAGATTCTGGTCTTGGGCCTTTCTATCAAATTTTAGAACTATGACAACTTATTTTTTTTAAGCTGAACCTTTTTAGGCTTTACATAGAATTCAATTCAATTACTATTGAAAATTATTCTGTTCTCAAACCGGGACAGTATTTTTTCAAATACAGACTACTGTGTCCCATAGCAGAACTTCTGACCTCAGCTTCCCACCCCACTTAGTATCAAAGTTCAAAGGGCAATTGTGAACTGAGTAGCCTACTCAGGAAGCATAGGTAGGAAGATTGTGGTCCAAGGCTAGCCCAGGCAAAAACCTTGAGACCCTATCTAAAATACAACTAAAGCATAAAAGTGCAAAGGATGTGACTCAAGTAAGTGGTAGAGCACCTGAACAAGGCCCTGAATTCAAATCCCAATACCACCAAAAATATGTATCTCTAAATGGTTGTTTTAGATTTATAATCTGTCTCTTTTTTGTTTTTTAAGACAGAGCCTTTCTATATAGCCCAGGCTGTCCTCAAACTTGTGATCGTCCTGCCTCTGCCTCCCAAGTGCTGGAATTACAGGTATGTACCACCTACCTGGCTTATATTCACAGTCTTTACATAAACTATACCTCAACTTTTAAAACGCCACCTTGCAATCCTTTTCTCCGACCACAACCTACTTGGGCCTACATTGTCCACATTCCTCTCTCTTCCTCCCCCACGAACTTACAGATTCAACAAAATTCCAATGGCAGACAGCACAAATGCAAAGTCACAAGGAAAACAGAAACACAAATATTTTTAGCTGGTGGGGAGATCAAACAAAAGTAAATAATGAACTGCAGCTTCATCAAACATTGACAGAACAGCACAAAGCAGAACAAAGTAGCAAACAATCAAGGTATATGTTAAGATTATATTTGTTTTAGAGCAATTTATTTTCAAATTTGCAAGTGGCTTTTAAGTCTTTCTAATATTTTGATTAAGAGTATATGGCTCAAGTAAGTGGTAGAATTTTGGCTAATTATAGTTTTAGAAAACTATCATCTACTTTTTATAATGTTTTTGAAAGTTAAAAAATTTCTTTCCTTCTTGAGTCTTTGCATTTGCATTGACTCACATAGTCCAGTAATCTATGCATTAAAACACCTGACATATTATCTGCTAGCACTAAGAAAATATATTTGCATTCCTCGTCATACTAAGTTTTCTTTTCTCTGCATGTGTGAGGGACTCTTCCATGCTTAAGTTATGAACAATTATTTCCCTTAGTTCTAGGCCTCTTTTTGTTTCAGTCAAAAATACCACACTGCTCACTAACTCATTCCCACACTGTTACCTCTCAACAGAAGTAATTTTTGGTTGAGAGGGTAAAGAGCAAAGTAAATTCATAGGCCAAGAATGGCCAAAGTCAATGACCTCTGGGGCAAACCCACTAAGCTACCTCCTGCCAGAAGCTGCAATATGAGGATTAGCAAAGTTACTGAGAAACAAATTCTACAAGGACGGTCAATGGGAAGAAGGTGCTGTGTGAAATTCACCTAAGAGCAATAGTTCCATAAACAACAGTCTCTTCTGCAGGATTCTACGGATTCTGAGCTCATAGCAATATGAAGCCAAAAAATAATTAGACATCAAAGACAAGAAAGTTGGGGGCATGGCTCAAGTGGTAGAGCACTTGCTTAGCAAGCATGAGTCCCTGAGTTAAAGCCTACCCCAGTACCAAAGAGACACACAGAGAGATTTGAAAGGTGTGGCTTTCACTTAGTAGATGTAAAATGGGTAAAGACCTAGCTTCACAAGGCTTTTGTAAACAATAAAGAAGTTTTGCAGACTATACAGAAGTAAGGTGTAAGAGGGGTAGTATCACCAAGTGGAAAGATCAGAAGCCCTGAATCCAGACAGACCCTGGATAAATCTAAGTAGTATTTCTTTGGCCATGTTAAGTACTTTTAACCTCAATTGCTCCATTTGGATTGTTGCAATGATTAAATATTAACATCTATAAAAGCCTAGCCATTTAAGAGTTTCTAGTAAATGGCAGCAATTATTTTGAGGGTCCTTTCCTCTCTCATCAGTCATTTTTCATTCATTTATTCAACAAATATTTATTACTAAACACTGATTTTGATTATAATAGTGAGTAAAACATGCACAACTCCTATCCTCCTGGAATCATCATCTAGAAGGGGAGAGAGAGAAAACTGCAGCATTATTTCATATACATTGTAATAAGGAAAGTATGTGGTGCAATGGGAACCCAGAGGAAAGACATCTCATCTGGGCTTGGGTTGATACCACAGAAGTTTCTTGGAGAAAATGACACTGAGCTTTAAACCGAGAGAAGAATAGGAGACAACCAATGAAAAGGAGAGGGTAAGGGAAATTTTCCAGAAAGACACGTGCAAAGACCAGAATCATGATTGTCAAAGATTATCTCAAAATATCCACCCTTTGTTCTGGGATTAGAACATAAATACTTCCCTATAAATCTTTCTATCTTTTCCTTGACCATTAAAGTCATGTCTTTCAGTCTTTCCTCTGGCATATATCAATTGAAGAAAATATCTTCTCATCTTCATTCAAAATCTTACCATTATCAAGTACAAATTCATTCACCAGTCACCATTATCGAGTACAAATTCTGATTATGTGGTCCAATAACTCCTAACATTCTTTTTTTTTTTTGAGACAGAGTCTCATTCTGTAGCCTCAAACTCTCTATCTTCCTGCTTCAACTTCCCAAGTGCTGGGATTACAGGTATGTACCACCACACCTAACTCTCATAACATATATTCTTATTCCAATCTAGTGACACTACACGCACAGCACTGAACTGGATGGTAATAGACAAATACCTCTATCCCCTCCATGACCTTAACAGTACAATTAAATGGACAATGGCATAAAACAGCATGTAGTAAATGTAATTTTAATGATTGAACAACAAATAAAACAAAAATGGATCATGATAAAGATCTTATAATGTCACTGGAGGCTGGGAGTATTTTCTTCACATAATTCAGTGAGGCATATAAGGAGTTATTATATATAAATACTTTGATAGCTTCATTAATTTAAACAAGTATTTGAAGATCTATTATATATTATATACAGACAAAACAAAGGTCCTGTCCATATGGATTGTTTGATTTTTATTGACAGAAGAGGAGGTAATAAACAGAAAACACAAGTTAACACTTTACATATGTATCTTACTGAATCTTCAAAACAACTCCATGAGATAAGATTTATCACCCTCATTTTACAGGAGACACAAGAATGTTAAATAATTAGTCCAAGATCAGAGAGCTAGAACAATCTAACATAGGACTATCAGACTATTAAGCCCAGGTTCAATGTGAGCGGCTCCATTCCACTGCTGTAGCTCTCCATTTCCATAATCCACAGAAGTTGATGGAAGCATCCCTGATACATGGTTGGTCCTCAAACTGTGCCCAGGATTTAACCAAGTGGTTCTCATACTCCTCCATTCCAAGGTAGCTCCTGGCATATTTCTTACTATTGCAGTGTTCTTTTTTCCATCTGTATTGCTTTTAATTGTGAAATTGGTTTCCATTTCAAAATCTCAAGGTCCTGTGTTACACAATTCCTTCCTCTACGCTATACATACTCAGCAAATTCTCCATTCATTTTCCTAATTCACCAAAAACAGTTGTAGGTTAGTAGCATTATATTCTCTTCAAAGGCATGGCTCTAATGGGTTATGCAGCAACTGTGGGATACTGGAAAGGTTACTGTATTTTAAATTAGACATAGTAACAATAGTTCTACCACCAAGCAGTTAAGAGCATGACTCTTTTCCACATTATTTTCTTTCATCTTTCCAGTAACACTACAAGTTATTAAAAATCATCCCCGTTGCTGGGTGCCAGTGGCTCATGCCTGTAATCCTGGCTACTCAGGAGGCAGAGAGATCATGGTTCGAAGCCAGCCCAGGCAAATAGTTCACAAGACCCTATCTCAAAAATACCTAACACAAAAAAGGTTGGTGGAGTAGCTCAAGGTATTGGCCCTGAGTTCAAGCCCCAGTATCACCAAAAAAAAAAAAAAAAAAAAAAATCTGTTTACAGGTGAGGAATTGAGATTTAGAGAGACTGAATTATTTGCTCAGGGCCAAGATATAGTAAAACCAGGTCTTCCCTGGGGCTTCCTACACTACCACACTGCTTCTTTAAAACTATAGGAATCACAGAAATATGGCTCTGAAAGGATCCTGTAGGATATTTTCCAAGAGTCCTCCTGTGTAGGCATCATTTCTATAGGATCATTTACAGTGACTCAGTCTCTCATAAAATCCTGGCTTGTCACATACAAATGTGACCTTTGTGAGCCGCAGCTTTCTCAGCTATGAAAGAAAACACTACTATTTACCTCACAGAGCTATCGTGAAGACTGAATGATAAAGCATGTAAAGGTCCTTTGTAAACAAGAAAGCACTTTACAGATGATCCCTGAACATTCTTTACAAGCAAGTTACTCTTAGAAAACAAAATTTATCTTTGCATTTCAGTAATTCTAAGTGGTTATTCTTTTATATATCAGAGATTTCATAACCACAAATTGTAGAGCAATATATCCATACCCTTATCTAGTAAGCAAAATGATTTTACATTACTACTACACATACCACTAAGCTTACAATGTAAGTTTTTCTCAGACTCTTTTGGAGGAAGAAAATTACCAACTTTGAGACATCCATGAAAAAGTAAATCTCATCTCAAATAAGCAAATATGTAAAATAATTCCATGACTTTAAATTAAGTGAATTTCCTCACATAACCATATTAGATATGTATGTACCATATTATTTATATATGTATTAAAATATCAGATGTAATCAATTATAATAGAAACTGTTTATTGAGCACTTAACATGTATTAACTCATTTAATAAAATTCTTCAGTTATAGGAAAATGGTAATTTAATAATGAGGCAAAATTAGTATAGGAAGCTAGTAAAATAATAAAATAATACAGGCAAAAATACCACAAAAAAAAAAACCTGACAATAGAGATTTTGGTAAGTCATTACATCTAATAATAAAAATACTTATACAACAGAAATCTTTATATAAACTACAAATGAAATTGATTAAATTTTAGTATCTGTAAAATAGCCACATGTACACTCACTTAAAACTGATGAGTGGGTATAATAGTATATCCTTTACCTAAGAAAACTGAAAATCAGATTTTTCTATTTACCTTCTCTTTCTTTAGCTTTCAAGTTCATCTAACTTAGTATATTAATATTAAAATCTGTCATTTCAAGGATTGTTTGCATTCTTCCTCTCTTGGAATTTGTACTGTTTCCCTTTCTTTTCTAAGTATTTGATTCTAAAAGGTCATAAAAATGTATGAACACATATGTATTTAGTGGATGAATGCAAAGTATATGCATCTTTCTCTAAATTAATATTTCTTTTGATGATGGATGAAAATCAAGTTAGGACAGAAGATTCAATGCTTTCTTACCCCCTATTAAGGCAGAAAGATAGAAATACATCACGTCTTTTGTGTTGTATGTGCCCATTACATTAAATAAAAACACCTGTAATTTTACTTACAGTCAAAAGTCCTTCAAATTGTCTGTGGCGATATGTTTCTTCAGCACTGATGTCTATAAAATCAAAGAAAATCACTTTCCTACCTTCTAAGCTTCTTAAATCTTCTAAAAGATGCAGGCTCAAGAGTTGCCAAATAAAATAGGCAAAGGTAGCCAAACATGGCTTCCTAGCCAATCTACTAAAAATAGTAGTTTGTAGTGGACAGATAAACCATTTCTCCCTTGCCCTTTTTTCTTTTTTTTCTTAAATGTTAGATACATGTTTTATTCATAATCAATATAATACAAAAATAATTATATTCTCTAAAATCTAGAGATGTGGTCAATTAGAAAAAAATTTATATTAGGAAGATATAAAAGTCAAAGAAAAATTACTTCTGCATTTCTAATAGGAAGGTTCCCAGAGATCCAATTTCCATTTGTTCTGAAAGGAAAACTGACCACAATGCAGGAATCAAGAGTTGCCTTTGCTTTTTATTTCTCTTTCTTGGAATTTCTTAAATAATAGCTATTATCATTTGTATGTATCATAATTTACAAAGACCACTCACAGATTTTATCTCATTGGCTTGTTACAACAAGCCTGTGCCTTTGAAAGTTTCTAGCATTGCGATTTGAAAAATGACAGGCTCGCAGAAGTGAAAGCTTGCCCAAGGCCCAGGTAAACAAAAGGCAGATCTGTCTTCAAATTCCACATTTGTGTCATACACACACAAATGCTACTGTCTCCCTAAAGATTGCAAAATAAAATGCCATTTAAGGATTTGTCATTTAAAGGTTCAGTAACTAAAGTCCCTTAAATTGCAATGAATTGTGATGTTGGTGAAGCACAAATAATGTTGATACCTGAGTCTAAGTGTAGTGTGAGGAAACAAGTAATGTAGGGTGCTCAGCATAGCGTCTGCACATTAAAATATTGTCTGCTAGTCATATTAGGCAACTTTAACAAATAATGAAGCTGAGTGCTACTTGAAACTGTAGAACTGAGAGGCAGAGGAAGGGTGGTCTAGAGTTCAAAGTCAGCCTGGGGTATATAGCTAGACCCTGTCTCAAAAAATGAAGGGCTGGGGCTATAACTCAGTGGTCATGCTCCAGGCCCTAGGCAACCCCAGCATCACAAAAGTAAAGGGTGAAAATGACTTAAATATACATAATTCAGAAGACAAAGCTAACCACCAAGCAGAACAAAAAGTTAGTAAAAGAGCTAGAAAATAAAGCCTTAGGGTAAATAAAAAGTGAAATGTCAAATTCAGGAATGACTCAGGTTTATGCAATAAGTCATGGCACTCTACATGGAAACAAGCCATCAAAAACTATGAGCTCTAATATGACACATGCAGGCAGGCACAAGTGCATTTTATGTGGAAAATCTTACCGTAAACCTTCTTGAATTACAAGTCCTTTGCAAAGGCGAAAGTTCTGCAAAGTCAGGCATGGTGGTGTGCACCTGTAGTCCCAGCTTCTTGGGAGGCTGAGGCAGGAGGACCCACTCAGCCCAGGAGTTTGAAGCCAGCCTGAGACCATCTCGTGAATAATAATAATAATAAATAAAACACACAAGTCCCGGAGTTAGACAAGGTGGAGCACGTCTGTAAACCAGCACTTGAGGGAGAAGGATCTCAATTCCAGGGCCAGCCTAAGGTACACAGAGAGTGCCATCTCAAAAACACGTTTTTGTTTTTTTTTTTAATTCCTAATCATATTAATTACACAATGATCATTCCCTTAAAGATATTCATTTTTCAGATTATTATTTGCTTATCTGAGGAAATTAAGTCAGGAGTTGATACAGACATTTAAGTTTTGTTTACTTTCAGGTTGGTAGCAAAGAAATGCAGCTTAAAAACAAAGAGTAACATGTAAGCGGCTTCTCTTCTGTGGTAGGATTATAGGAAATTTTTTTGCATCTGTACTTGTCAAACTTTATAGAATCAAAAAAATTATAGATTTAACCGCATTCAAAATAATGTAGATGTGAAATTTTTCACAATAAACTTTAGGGAGAAAAAGGCAGGACAAAGCCAGGCATGGTGGTACACACTTGAATCCCAGCACTGAGGAGTCTGAGGCAGGAGGATCTTGAATTTTATATCAGCCTGGTCAATGTAGTGAGATCCCGATTCAAACAAACAAACAAAAAAGTGGCCGTAACATTAAATCTAGAGCATAATCTCAATTTGGTAAAACATTAAGATGTTTCTAGATGCAAGTACATCTAGCTAGGAGGTAATAGTTGTCTAGGATAGTGTTTTCTCTCCATTATGAGACCCAGGGGACTATTTTATTTGAGTATTTCTGCAGTCTTCAATTTGGTTTTGTGGTTGTTGTTTTTGGCTTTTGTTGTGGTAGTGGTGATTTTTTTGGTGGTACTGGAGTTTGAACTCATGGCCTCACACTTGGTAGGCAAGGACTCCACCACTTGAGTCATGTCTACAGCCCTTTTGGGTTTTTTACTTTATTTTTTCAGATACTCTCATGCTTTTTTTGCCCGCCAGCCTCAGACAGATTTTCCTACCTACAACTCCTGCATAGCTGAGATCACAGGTGTGCACCACCACGCCCACCTTGTTCTTGAGGTAGGGTCTTGCTAACTTTCCTGCCTGAACTGTCTTTGAATCGTGATCCTCCTATGTCTGCCTACTAAGCAACCGAGATTATAGATATTAGCCACTGTTCCCAGCTAGAGATGCCTTACTTTTGACTGACTCTTATTAAACGGGGTAACAGTGAAAACAAAAATAGCATATCTCCACAGACAATTTGAAGGACTTTTGACACACATATAAGTTTATTTGATATCACCAAAGCAGCAGCATCACCAGCATTTTGAGGAGAATTAAATGTTGTTGAGTTTTAGAAGATACACTTAGGTCAATAAAAGATCAGGTTTCTGCTGGGCTGGTGGCTCATGCCTGTAATTCTAACTACTCAGGAGGCACAGATCAGGAGGACTGCAGCTTGAAGCCAGCCCTGGCAAATAGTTTGCAAGAATCTCTCGAAAATACCTAATACAAAAGGGACCTAATACAAAAGGGCTCAAGGTGCAGGCCCTGAGTTCAAGCTCCAGTATCGGGGGAAAAAAAAGATCAGGTTTCACTTACCTCTGTTCTGAATCACTATGTTTTTTGGTGGTAACTGGGATTTGAACTCAGGGCATTGCACTTGCTAGGCAGGCGCTCTACCACTTGAGTCACTCTGCTAGCCCTACATTAAGATTTTAAGTAAACCTTTTTTCTGGGAAAAACAATCACCTGTCCAAGCCTCATGTAATTCCATAGCATAGTAGAAATAACCATAAGCTTCTTCATATACCCGCTTACTAAGTAAATGGTAAACACAGCACTTTGCCATAAACATCCAACAATTAATACTATTCAATCTAATACCTAGAGAAGCAAGTGAGTTTTTTGTAGAATTCCTTGTTAAAATAATTCTAACAGCACGTTTCGTATACACTTAATGTTTAATCTAACAGCTCATTTTATTATTCCGTCTCTGTACACATAGTATCTCAATCAAGTATTGATTAATTCCTAAAGGTTTTGATCTGGCAATGCCAAGACCTTACCCAGCACCTTTTTCCAAACATGCATCATGTTTTAATTATTGCCACAATACACTAAAGAATAAAGTATACGATGACCTCATGTGGCAAATGGCTGTAACTACTATTTTTCCCTGCTAAAATATAATTTTCATTACTGCATATGCTTACAGGGTACAAAGTATTATACAATGTGAATGCTTAAATCAAGCTGATTATCACCTCAAATACTTATTTGGGGAGTGAGAATGTTTGAAACTTACTTAGTATTATGAAATATACGACACATAATTAACTAGTTGCCATGCTGTGTGATATATCTCAAAAAAACTTAATCCTCCTGCTACTTTGTATCCTTTTACCAACAACTCCCCATTCCCCCTACCCCAACTTCTGTAAATTTGCCTTAGATTTCACCAATAACTGACCTCATAAGGTATTTGTTTGTCCTGTGACTAGGTTATTTTGCTTAGCATGATATCCTTCAATTACATCTGTTATTAGAAATGACAGGATTTTTTTTTTATTCCATAGGAATTGCACAGAAATAGTATTCCACTGTGTATATATACACACCACATTTTCTTTATCCATTCATCAGCTGATGGACACTTTGGATAATTTCTTATCTTGGCTACTATGAGTAATGCTTTAATGAACAGGCGAGTGTAGATCCTCTTCAAAATACTGACTTTGAGGGCTTTGGATATATATACCCAGAAGTGGGATTGCTGGATCCCTACTTATTTTTTAAAGGAACCCATTGTTTTCCACATGACTGCATTAATTTACCTTCCTACCAACAGTGTACTAGGGTTCACTTTTCTCTGTATGGTTGCCAACTTCTCTTTCATCTTTTTGATAATCATTTTGACATGTGTGAGAACTCCTCATGGTTTTGCACCTCTTTAATAATTAATGATGCTGAGCCTTTTTTTTTTTTTCTGTTAGTCATTTGTATGTCCCCTTTAGAGAAATGTCTATTCAGGTGCTTTGCCCATTTTTAAATTGGTTTACTTGTTTTATTATTGAGTCAAGCTCCTTATACATGTGGGATATTAATCCTGTATTAAGAGATACGGAATGCAGATTATTTTTCTCCCAATCTGTAGTCTATTTAATTGTTTCCTTTGCTATGCAGAAGCTTTTTAGCTTGAGGTATCCACACGTCTTTTTGGGCTTTGTGGCCTAAGTTGTTGAAGTCAAATCCCAAAATTTATTGCCCACACTGATGTCATAGAGCTTTTCTGATGTGTTTTTTTTTTCTGGCAGTTTTTATAGTTTCAGATCTTACAGTTAAGTTTAATCTATTTTGAATTTGCTTCTGTATACAGTGTAAGAAAAGAATCCAATTTCATCCTTTTGCATATGGATATCAGTTTTCCCAAAAACCTTTACTGAAAATGGTGTCCTTTTCATTATATTCATAGTACAACATGTTTTGATAACCAATGCAATAGCTATTAATTCAAATACATAAAAAATCGCCTTAAATGTCAATGGTCTGAATACACTAAAGACAGATCGTCAGAGTGAATGAAATACTATAATACAACCTAATATTATAGGCTGTATTATAACTGGGGATTTTAACACTCCTCTACCAGCAATGGACAGATGCAGCAGGCAGAAAATCAGTAAGTACATAGCTGAATTCCACAACACTGTCAATCAGTTGGATATAATTAACATCTGTAGACCACTTCGTTCAACAGCATACTACACATTTCTTCTAAACTGACATGAAGCATTCACCAAGACAGACCACATTCTGGGTCATAAAACTCTATTTAAAAAATTTTAAATAGAAATCATACAATGTCTGCTTTTGGGCCACAATGGAATTAAGCTAGAACTCAATTACAAAAGATAACTGGAAAAAAAATTCCAAATATTTGTAGATTAAACAACACATTTCTCTGAGTCAGAGAAAAAAATCCCTAGTTTTAAAACATTTTGAACTAAATCAAAATAAAAATATAACACCAAAATTTAAATTAAGATTCACAGGCTGGTAGAGTGGCTCAAGCGGTAAGACTGCCTGCCTAGCAAGCATGAGGCCCTGAGTTCAAACGCCAGTGCTGACAAAAAAAAAAAAAGTAAGATTCAGTGAATTGTTTGAGGAAACAGGTATTTACTCTATTTAACACTTTGTAATACATATGTATCAAAACATTACAGTGTCCCACAAGTATGTATATTTTTATGTATCATTTTAAAAAAGTATACAGCATACAGTGGAAGTAGTACTTATAAGGAAATTTATGGCATTGAATATGTTAAAAAAGATAAGACTATAAAGTCGATAATTTAGGTTTCCTCTGTTGGCTGAAGGAATGACCACCCCTAGAGTCACTGAGGACTCAGGAAACTGGTTATGACTTGAACTCAGATTTCATGAAAACAGGTCTACTTGGATGGGAAGTGTGTGCTGTGTTAGAGGTAAGCCAAGGATGATTACATTTAAGGAATTTCAGCCCAAACTTTGGGAAGAGCAAAACCACCAGGGGTTGGGGGTGGTAGAACTAGCAGGACAAAGGTATGCAGTATCACCTGGTACTCCATGGCTTGCCCTGCCAGCAAAGACTGCTATGGTCTGACTGCTTTTTATACTCTCAAGAGTGCTGGAGACATCTGGTAGAAACAGTCTACTCAGGCATTTCCACACCAGACCTGCACTGGCAGACTACCTCCGATATAAGGAGCATCCAACAAGGGGTCCTCAGACTGAGTTGACAGGAGCAGCAGTCTGAGGGCAGCCCCTGCATTCCCAATAGCTTGTCTGGATATGAAAAACAATGGCAGGAATTCAGACCAGCAATAGTCACAGTAGTGGCTGAGACCCAGTGGGAAAAGCAAGGCAGAGCTCAGCCTGCAAACAGCCCTTTGTGGTCTAACCTATTTGGACTTCAGATAGAAAGTGGCTCTCAAAGAGCAATAAAGGGGAAAAAAAAAAGAAAGAAAAAAAAGCAATTGTGACTACAACTTTCCAGAATCTGGGACATGAACAAGAGACCACACCTAAGAATCCATGGGGTTGAGTACTGGTGGTTCACGCCTATAATTCTAGCTACTCAGGAGACCGAGCTCAG